TGTTGCATGATGAAAAACAGTCGATGCCCACTTTGTATCCAGATGATTCCAGTATGCAGCCTCCGGGACGTTCGCATGCCGCTCGCGTAGATTATCAAACACTGTCAAAGCGTGCACGCAGAAAAGCCCCGTCTTCTCAGGCTTTCGGAATTTGCAACTCACTTCCGTCCGCTCCCCTTCTAGTTGAGCCATCCTTACGCTCCAAACCTGCGTTCCCTTCGAGACGCTGCCATCGAGATGTCCCTTTTTGATATCCTGCACAACGCAAGAAAAGTTTGCACATCACACCACAGAGTTACAAGCTTGTGCTTAGCCCACTCAGTCAGTTGCCCATCAAGCCATCAAGATGCTGTGCTTGTCAGGGAACGTGCTCCCTTTGATCAAACTCATTCCGACGACGCCCTCTTCACCTTTTCATTACTCTAGCGCCCCCAAGGAAAGGGGCTTATATAAAGGGGCTTATGAAAGGGGCACGTAACAAAAAATCCCAAATAAAAGGGGGCACGTATGAAATTTTCTCTATATTTTGTGTTCATGTGAAAGCTAAAGGTTTTTGTTCAGGGTGTCAATATCAGTGCGCACTGTATGTTGCAGAAATGTGCAGGTGTAAAGCGTCACTACTGCACGTCAAAATTGATACAAGAACACGACACTGGCCCGTGATCACTCTGCGCGTGATCTGACCGACCTGCCCAGAGCAGAGGTCCTCGATGTCCGGCAGTGTTGCCTTCTCACACACAGCGCCACTCCTCTCCGCGTGCATCACAACTGGCAGCCTCAGCAATGCACGGCGCCGGAAAGCCGTGCTGGCGGCGCGTCTGCTCATTTCGCTTTGCATGTGTTGGCAAAAAAAAATGGACAGCTGGTTGCCCGCGTGAACGCAGCAGTGCACGAGTCGGGGCACCTCCGCCCCCTGCGCCAACTCAATGCTTAGGAGTGACTTGATGCTCGACCTGCCGTCTCGACCGTGCATGAAACTTGCGGCGAGACTCAAAAAAAAAAAAACAATCAGCGACTGCATGCCTCAGCCGTGTGTTCTGCAGCAAACTCTCTTCATACGTCCTGCGCTGCTTCAACTTCCGGCCCAGGTGATCCTTCTCTGGCCACCTCCTCCCCCTGTCTTGAGGCACGGCTCTCATCTTTATCTCCGCTCTCCTCCTGCCCTTCGGACCGCGTCCTCCCGACAGCGGAAACCGTGACGGCCACGACCACGAAGGCGAGCATCGGTCCCCCAGCCATGAGTCCGATGGCCCACTTGGGTATGCTCCCCTCCCGCGTATCCATCTGCTGCTGCGGGGTCACGGTGTCCACTTGTTGGCCATCTGACATCACCTGAGCTGCGTCAGTGGCCACGGCGAACTCGGCCCCCACTGATCTCATCCACGGGACGAAGGCGCTCACCCTCACGAAAATAGCGGGCGTACCCTCCCAGGCGCAGCCTCTGCTGCGGCTCGCAATGCCCACTTGTACAGGGACACCGGCTGCGTCGAATTGAAGCAAAGGGCCGCCGGAGTCGCCGTTGCACACGCCGCAACGGCCTTGCGGGTAGCCTGCACACAGGGTGCGATCATCGAGAACCCCGGGAGTACCATATTCTTCGCGGCACTCGTCCGTGGGCACGAAGGGGGTGTCGACCTGGCGCAGTAGGCGGTTGGGGGGCCCGGCGTACGCGGTGGAGCCGAAGCCGACGGCGCGGACGAAAGCTTTCGCGACAGGTAGCTGCGGGTTGTCGTTAATCTTGACAAAGGTGGCGTTTAGGGGAGCGGGTTCGGCTAGCTGGACAAGGGCGATGTCGTCGCGCATGTCGTCGCTAGGGTGGAGATGGACGGAACGGACGGAGATGAGCGGGCCTGAGGAGCGGTGGGACGTGGAAAGAAAGACGAAGGTGGCGTTAGTGGGGAGACAGTGGCGGGCGGTGAGGACCCAGGTGGGAGAGAGGAGCGAGCCGGTGCATGCCGAGGAGAAGGCTTGGACAAGGGAGGCTGTGAAGGAGGCGGTGGGTGGTGGGGCTGGGGTGCCGCCAACGATTCTGCTGGAGGGCGTGGTAAGAATGTCGGGGCAGCGGGTGGAAAGAACGAGCGGGAGGAGAAGGAGGATAGTTAGGAGGAATGGGAATGGGTGAGACATGAGGTTGGGACATGTGGTGTCCGGGTCGGTGATGTTCGGGTGCTGTGTGTTGGGGAGGACGTGGGGGGGTTTAGATAGGGGGGGTTTTGTGGGTAACGGCCAATGGGAGGGGGCGGGGACGATTATGCCGTGACGGGCGTTAGGCGAGGGGCTGACATAGACGGCTGTGGGGGGCGGCGTAAGAGTGAAGGGGGATGATTATATCATGTGGCGATGATTATATCATGTGGTGATGACGACGAAAAAGGTGGCGAGCAAGTGAAAAGACCCCGCCGAGGTGAAACAAAGAGGGGGCCGTCAATCTTCGATACGGTACGCTACCAGGGTACTGTGTGTACGGTAGTCGCCACCGACACGGCACAGTTCTGGTAGACGGCTTGAACGCCGGCTGCATGGTTCCCAACGGCAAGGCCCTCACAGACGCAATGGCACTTGCTCACCTGTCATCGTTGCCTTCAAGGACACATGTATGATGTGTCAAAAAATACGGCTGTGAACACGTGTACATCGTGTACTACTCACCGTGCTCCGGTCGATCTTCCCCAAATCGATGCTTCAGCAGCGCCCCAAACATGCAGGCGATGAAGGCGACCGACACGGCAAGCCCGATCCACCGTGTCTCCGAACCGTCGCTGGCTCCCTTTTTCAACGGCAGCTGAGACATGGAAGAAGACGGGCGGGCTTGTCTCGAGGGCGCCGCGGTGGGCACGTTGCTCCCTATGATGCTGGGCGTCGGCGTGAGTGAAGGGGAGGGGGACGGGTCGGGGGTGACCTGCAGCAAGGCGCCCCCAAATTCTTTAAAGCGAGCATTGTTGATCTCGCGCTGGTCCTCGAGAAACTCTTGGAGGGCCGAGGTGCGGGTGTAGATGCCGGGGCGAGAGATGACGCCGCAGCCGTTGGAGACATGGATGATGCCGATGAGGACGGGCATACCAGAGGCCGAGTACTGGACGAGCGGGCCGCCGAGATCGCCGGGGCAGTAGTCGCAGTCTTCTGCGGCGGCGCATATCATAGAGTCACGGCTAAACATGACATCGCGGTCGTAGCGGGCGATTTCGCACAGGCGGGGGAAGAGGACGGGCACGACGAGGTCGGTCGAGAGGGCGGAGGCGGCGCGGGCGAGCGATCCGGGGGAGGGGAGGGCGGGGTCGAAATTGAGGGGGAGGGGGGTGGCCAAGATGGGGAGCGAGGACCGGAGGAAGCCTGCTCTTTCTGCGT